CTGACCACCCCGCTGGCTGCAGGGCTGACTACCCCGCTGGCTGCAGGGCTGACTACCCCGCTGGCTGCAGGGCTGACTACCCCGCTGGCTGCAGGGCTGACCACCCCGCTGGCCGTAAGGCTCACCGGGTTGTTCACCATTCCCACTCTGCGAATACGACGACTCGGGATATGACGACTGAAGATAGGTGGGCTGAGAATATGGCGGCTGGAGATACGGCGACTGGCCGTACCCGGTCCCAAGAGACGACTGGTCGTATGGCTGGTCGTGCGTGGCCGCGAAGGAGCCACTCGGAGGAGGGGGCGGTGGCGGCACGTTGTCGGGCGGCGAGGCCCCAATAGTGCCGACATATGTCGACGTCCCGACATACGCGGCTGTCCCTACGTATGCGGGCGTCCCTGCATATGTTGACGCCCCAGGGTTTGAGGGCGCCGGTCTGGACACCACCGATCCGGGTCGAGGAGCGATATGGCCGCCCTGTCCGGGGATCAGCCCTGTTCGCAACGCGCTGTTGTTCACCGATGGATGCGCCTCAGCACGAGGTCTGGCTCCCTGGCGAGTAGATCGAGTCTGCCACCTGCCAGCGCACGATGGAGTGCCCAAGGAGGGTGGCATGGGCATCTGGTCCGCCATCCCTGCCGTAGGTCTCGGGGCGATGCCACGCCCTCTCATCCATTAATAAAAAATTATGATAGCTGCAAGTCTGCCGACAGATATTCCTCAGGAACCAGAACCGAACAAGCCTAAGGTGAGCAATCCCCCACCCCTCCCGTTCCCGACCCAGGTTGGTTACGACTGGGAATCGGTCAACCAATTTGAATGCCCGTAGGTGATGACGTATATTAGCCGAGCTTTCCAACTCGGACAGACCGCGATTTGGGTGGTTGGAACGGGTCTCCTCGTCGCTGGCCTGCCTCTGCTCTACGAACTGGAGCGGGAGAACAACGAATAAACAACTGGGGGGAAGGCACATCCCACTGGGGAAGGTCCATCTACCTAGCTACAAACGATTGCTGTCAAGGCTGTTGAGGCCCTCGGCTGTTAAGACCCTCGGCTGTTAAGACCCTCGGCTGTTAAGACCCTCGACTGTTAAGACCCTCGACTGTTAAGTACCAGCTCCTTGAGTGCGTGGACCCTTTGTTGAAAGGTACCGAGGTTGTCCTCCCTTCCGGGTGAGTGCGGGATGCGACCTTGTCGTCCTTCGCGTTCCAGAACGCGATCCCGTTCCAGAACGCGATCCCGTTCCAGAGCCCGATCCCGCTCCAGAGCCCGATCCGGTTCCAGAGCCCGATCCCTTTCCAGAGCCCGATCCATTAGGCGACCACCCGTACCATCTGCCGAGAGTCTTCTTCTATCTTCGAGGTTATTGAGAAACCCAACAACTTTCATTGTGTCTCGAATTCGCATGGCGCTCTTAGATCGCTGAATAGGTGAGACTAGGCGTTTGTCGACTCTCTTCTCGAGCATCCTATCTCGGTCAAACTGTTCCTCTAGCTTCTGGACACGTCGTTCAAGACGATCAAATTTTAACCGCATCTCCTCCATTTGGAGCTCCCATTCATTTATAAGTGTTCTCAACACACTCTCAGCACTACCTCTTCGACCCCCCTCCCCAATCCGCTGCGGATTCTCATCCTGGTCCAACAGCACCGCCGCAAACTCCGACATCTCCCGCTTTAAATCTTCCAACACGTGTGGCACTGCACACACACCGTGATTGTTATCCACACGCTTCTCTGTTCGTGTTTCCGCACGTGTATGGTTTTGGTTCATTTTAAACAAAAAATGACCCCCACGACGAACACAAATCTTGGATCAGGACGACCGGCCCAAAAGAGGACAACCGGCCCAAAAGAGGACGACCGGCCCAGGGAGCACAACCCACGTCCTTGGACATAAGGCTGGCCGTCCCCCCACCCCCCTCTGCTACTGTTTGTGTTGTCACAAAATCACGAGGCCCTAGCTGGGCCTCTATCGCTTGTTTACCCATATCGCTCGTAACCTCTATCGCCCGTTGTGATAAGTTTGCTTCTAGGGTATCTCAGTTAGAAACAACTTCTCAGTAAAGCTTATCTCCTGCTCTCATCATCTCGCATCTTCCAAATGATCTAAATCTGCCTCCGATTAGAGACCTTAGCGTCCTTCGTGTTAATTTTCATGCCAGCAACTACGATACTGGCACTCTTTCCTCCGATGTGCTTTTTGTCCTCAAGAGGAATACACTCCTTTTTGGGTTTGTCAGCCAGCTGACTGCAAGCAAGCCGCGCCATGTGACGTCAAGTTTCATCCACGTCAATTGGGCCCTAAGATCTTAATAACATCCTGGTTAGAGACGGCACAATTCCTAATAGTCATGAATAGAGGTTATTGTTTTACGAACAACGCACGCACGTTTTATGGCATTCGTCCGAAGGGCGGTAATAAGATCCGATGGCGTCGACGAACAATGGCTCGCGGATACGTGCGTTTCGAAATCAACGAAGTCAACTTCTTCTCTCGAGTATAGAAGATGTTGTGTGTTCCTCATCTAAGAAAATTGCTCCAACAGACAGGTCCTGCCTGTTTGATTCGGTCTGGTTATTTTTGGCACTTGAACAACCAAGTGCTGTAAACAGTTGGTCCATCTTGTCCCATCCAGTAGCAGCCGTTGCCGCGATAAATGGGCGCGTAGGGGTATGAGCTGTGATAAGATCAGAGTTCCATTATAAAGGGTGTGTGACCGTACACACACAAAAACTGTGTGCGCACGTAATATAGAGGTTCTGCATCAATGAACTGACCATCGAGCAAAACACGACAATCTTGCTTGCCGTTTTCAGTCACAAAGGCCGAAACTATTTTTTGTCTGCACCAGGAATCGAACCTGGGTCTGAACGGCCACAACGTTCTGTCCTAACCACTAGACGATGCAGACCGTCCATTAGATCTTTGGCGAGAGACTGAGACACGAAGATGTCAGCCAAAGATGTCTTTCACAAACTCATACGCCAACAAATTAAATGATTTAAGACGGCCCGTCCGTGACTGTTAGCTCCTCTTGTCATTTGCGAGAGTGGTCATTGTACGCCTGTGAGTGACGTTTAATCTTGAAGTATTTCTGCAGCCCATACTTCTGCTGAAGAATCTGTCTTCCAACGGGTCTAGTGCCCCGTCCACTCTGACGCAACACATGTAAAGAGTGGGTATCGAGTGGCCTTCACCGAACTTCCGAGGCCGTAGACGCCCGCTCCGTCTAGGCCCTTTTGTGACAGCCGCCGGATGCTTTAAGGGGGGCCGGTTGGGGCAACCACCACCTGGTGGTTGACCGAGCGTCGTCGCTCTGGTGTGCACAAAGACAGGTTCTGCGACCGGCGGGCCCGCATTTTCCTAGAGCCAGTGGGCTTACAGGACGAGGGCACCGCTTGTGCAGCCGCCCGTGGAAGCTGAGTTGCGCCTCTGTAGCTCTGTGCCTGGAAGGCCCCGGCGGCTGGGCACCTGCGGCTTAGTCTGCCCCAGGAAAGCGGTGATGGTGGCATCTTCAGTGACGCTTGCTGTCGACGGCTGTGCGGCAGGCTGCGATGCCGGTGCCCCAGCGGACTCAATTGTGGCAGCGCGAACCACGTGGTATACCACACCACAGCCAGTGGCTGCGTAGTACTTGCACTCCTCACCAAGAATGGCGCGCAAGCATCTCCGGATGAAGAATTTTCCGGGGTCCTATGAATCCCGTTGTCAGCGTGTCCCCTGACGCCACATCTAGTGTACCGCTCAAGGTGCCGAGTACAGTGTTGTTCGGATTTAAGGTCGTTGATGAGGTAATAGATTGTTGAAGGGTTGAGTATGTATCAAACCTTCCTATCAAACCATCTCGGTTTTCTTGAGCGGAAGATTTTGGGCGGGCTTCTTCCTTTTCGTCAAATTCCTAGATTGCTTCTGTTTCAACTGATGCGACAGAGGATTTCGTATCAATGAGTTCGCTACCGGTACGGTAGTTCATCGTAGTGACGGTCGACATTGCCTTCGGCATCGAGGTTTCGCTCTATCTATTGGATTGACTCAGTCCACCCCTCGTAGTACCTGTGGTCTTTAGTACAGGCTATCGATCCTGCTGATTCGTGCCCGGTGCGGAAGTGTGTCCAAGCTCGGTGTAGCAGTGTGCCCAACCAAGCTTGATGTAGCAGTGCGTCCCTTTATTTTTGATTCACGGCGATTTTAAAACTGCCATCGCCCTTGGAAGAGAATGCGTCAGTCCCGGGGTGACAAGCATCAGAAAGAGCTTTCCGTGTTGCGTCTGGCTATGTTCGCATGGCCATCGATGGGACAAATATCAAGTGACGGCAGGCACTGCTCTAAAGATGCACAGGGGTGGGCAGTCTTACAGTCTGCGGCAGTGAAGTCACAGCAGGAGGAAAGATCATCCGATGTGATAAGTCACTGGGATGTGGAATTAGACAGATATTTAGTGACCGAACAGAATCCACACGAGTCCGGTACATTGGACGCGCTGGATGCGCTGGACTGGGATTCGCTTGTTACAAATAAACAGAAAGTATCCGACTCGACAGGTGACTGGAATATGGAATGGGACCGGTGGAATATGGAATGGGACCGGTGCTTGACGAGTGAGCAGAATCCGGGAACATCTATGAAGCATGAACTGGGAACTGTCGGACAGGAATCGTTCGTGATCGACCAGACGGCAGCAAGAGCAAATGGAATGGTGTACCAAGAACTGGGACCGGTTTTGCCCGGTCAGCCACCGGAATTACAGAGTCAAGTACTGGACCCTTCTGCGGCAGTTCCCTCCTTCGGGGCCGAGGTGTCGACCTCTTCGTGGCAAGAGCGCTGGGTAAACATCTCGCCGAGGGGGAGTAAGGGGTGCGTTTCCAAGAAGGGGAAGCGGAGCCGCGGCGGCAAGTTGTTCTCCCCCATAAGCCCGTCTAGCTGGAACTCGGGCTGGGACGCGAACTCGGGCTGGGACGCGAACGCGTGCTGGGACGCGAGCTCTGACTCGGCCTTGAGAGCTCTCGTGGGGACTGTGATACAGGATTGCGTTTTAGAAGACCAGAGGGCGGCAGAGCGTTGCGGGACGGCGTGGATGGATCGAGAAGGGGTCATGTCGGAAGAAGGGAAACGGTATATGGCGGAGTTTGTGGTGGACTGGATCGACCTGGAGAAGCTGTACCACAGAGCGACACCACAGCACCTTGTAGCAATATCAGAATTAGCCAGGCCAGAGTTCACAATGCCAAAGTTCAGATTCTGTGGGTGGCGGTGGGTACATCTAGCCGGCGTGATCGGAGACAAACTGGGCCGTTCTGTAGTCAACGACCTGGTGGCCGCGATCGAGCGAGCGGTTCCGCGCCCGGCCGATATCTCACCGCTCTGGTTCCTTGCTAGTGTTATGCGCTCCTTTCTGCTGAATTCGTCGCTGAACTACCGCATCAATATGTGGCTCGCAGCTTGCGATACCGGCTGGACATCCCGCATCAACCTCAATAGGGATGTGTTCCCGCAAAACTTTGGTCCTCTGCCCGAATCACAAGCCTCCCGACAACAGGTGGCACTCTTCTGTTGGGCTGCACACTGGCTCAAGGCTGGGATCGAAAACTTCAGACGTGACTATCGTACAACAGGTGATGTCGGCCTATTCGGACTGTGGTATGCTTCGGCTCTTGACCCCACTGCCCGTGTGATCCAGCAAGTAGTCGGGCGCCGCGCGTACAGTGAGCTTATTGCGCTGTTCAGAAGGCGACTGCCACCCTCCGCCGGGATCTCCGACGTTCGTGTAGCGGATTGCCTGCTCAAGTGCGCAGGTCTTGAAAAAAGGGTAGCCGATCATTTCTTCGCACAGCTCAAGCTCCCGACCACAACCACACCAACGGCCAAACGAGCGACACGGTGTTTAAAACGTGCCGGAGCCGCGATCTCACGAAGCACCAACCGCGATCGCACCGCACTGAACGTGTACTTATGCGTTCCTTGACAACTAAGTTCCATATTGGTGGGTCACTTCTTTTTCCGGCTGCTAATAGGATGAATTAGCGACCTATGACGACCTATGTTTCTTCGAGCTAACCCCTTTGGTGGTAGGGAGATCGTCTTGGCCTTCTTCCCTTTCGTCAACTAGATTGCTTCTGTTTTAACCGATACTACTTGGGATCAAAGTGTTTCGTATCAATGAGTTTAGATAGGTGAACGAAGAGAATTAATAGAAAAAGTGACGGTGCCCCATAAGGAAACAAATAGAAATTCGACACAGATTCATGAATGACTCAGGACGAGGATCCGAGGCAAGAGACCGTCAACAGTCGACCAGCCCCCAGGCGACCGCCGTTCGTACGCAAGGTTCTGAACCTCAAGGGGTTCTTCGTACGGATGAGGGAAGAGGAAGACCGCAAGATAGCGGCAGCGAGGCCGGTAGTTCCGGCGCAACAGCGGGTGGTTCCACCCCCCCCCCCCCCCCAGTTCCCCCGACCAGTCCCCTACCACGCCCGAACCAGGTGTTGTGGGCATTGCACATAATGCCTATGTTGCCGGAGTACCCGCCGGAGTTGACCCTGGCTGTGCGGGAGTTGACCCTGGCTGTGCGGGAAATGGAGGGGATAGCTCATCTGCAGTCGTCGAGTGTCGAGAGACACGTAATGTCATTATACCGGGGCTCGAAGGGATGATAACTGCCATTCGCATCCGAATTGATAATCCTCGAGTGTATCAAGAGTTTCGCGACAATAAGGATTTCCTCGAGGCCACGACGTCCAAGACCTCTCTTAGCGTTGAGGGTTCGGCGGTTCCTGTTGTCGTCAACTCACCGTTAGAGCCTGTGATGCCGTTGACTTGCGCCAAACAGAGTGTAATAGACAGGGTGCGAGTGACAGACGGACTTGTACGGAAGATGGGTATCGACGGCTTTATCAAGGGGGTGATGACATTGAGGCACGCATCGGCGTCGCGCGTTATCGGGAAATCACGACTGCAATAGAGCGCATCGATATGCTACGTACCGCATTGCCGTTTCATAACCAGGGCATGGCTGCAGCATTTAACCTCATGCCATGGTACTATGGGCCGGATCCAGCTCCTCGTTATCGTGACACTTGCATCAGAACTGGGTACGGACGTGATGTTACATATCATACACCCTTGGTGGAGTTATGGGACATCATAACCCAGGGGACGAGGATGAGGCGGCCAGGGGTGGCACCCACAGAGGAGGAATGGGTTTATGCGATGAGGGTTGGTTTGAATGTTGACGAAGATGACGAGCTACCAGTGATTGGGCCGATACTACTTGGGATCAAAGTGCTTCGTATCAATGGGTTCGCTACCAGTAGTTATCAACAGTGTCTTCGGACTCGAGTCTTCCCTCTGTCCTTTGGGTCTTCATCCGTCTGCCATCAAGCTTCAACTTCTTGGATCAGAGCCGACCAACCGCTTGATGTATATGCAGCTGCAGTTTCGGCTTGTCTTCAGATAGTTGTAGATGTTCCTGGATGGGTACAAGCGCCGCATGAAATGCGCCGATTACATAAATGAAGATAATCACCGCATAACTGCGACGTTACTATACTGTGCCAAAGCAGACATGAAATGAAAGTGTAATGTGAAAATACGATGGTGTGTGGTATGTTATGAGGTAAGGTATCGGGTGGTTGCTG